CTTTAGACGAAAGGACGGCCTGCCTGCAGGTCCTGGGACCTACCAACAACCTGCCCTCTAACCTGACCTTGGATCCAGTCACCTCTGCAGCCACCAGCCTGTTGCCTTCCTGCCAGTCCTGGGTTGATCAGCCCCTGCAGCCACTTGGAGTTGGGGGGAAGCCTCTAGCCCACAGGTTCCCAAACTTGCTGGGCCTACTTAAAAATGTTTGTACCATAGCCAAGAAGCTAGGATAACGTGTCCATATCTGCATCTGCAGCCTGCACCCCTGTCCCCCTGATGATCCCTAAAAGTGCCCCACCTCCCCCAGTGGGCGGTATCATCCACCTTGGGAAACACTGATCCAGCCAACCATCTGACCAGCAGACATAGCACCTACCCAGCCTGGGACGGGCTCACTTCTAGAACTGAGGGCCAGTCTTTTGCGGTGTGTGGGTTCTCCCTACCCACACCGGCTCTGCACCTCTCACAAACAGGTCCAAGCCATGCTACTTCCACCTTTGCTAGCTTAGTTACCGAGCTTAGATGGCACTCCTTGCCGTATGCTGCCATCAGGCGCAGCCACAGCGGCCCGTGTGCAACAGATCCAACCCGCCCGAGCCTGTGCCGTCCTCACAAGCTTCCATGTGTGAGTTCCTTGCTGCGGACACTGTGTCAGTCCACCTCCCTGAGGCTCCTCCTCTTGTTGGCCAAGCAGGGCCTGGCCCCTCCCAATCACATGTCCAAAGGATGCCACCTGTGGTAGTGACACAACCTGGCGTCAACGTGCAAAGGGTGGAGTTTAGCCTGTCAATCAGGTCGCAGCCCGATGACCTCATTTGGAGGCACAGCAGAGATAATAGCTCACTGGAGGCCAGATCCACACTCTCTGCTTCCTTTTCCTGCTGACAAGCCACCTGGAGCTACCCTGATGGAGCCAGAGCCCTGGAGCTGGAGGGGCCACGTGGAGACCCACGCCAGCGCTGAGATGCTTCACTGCCACTGGATCCACAAGACTTTCCACTCACTGGCCTGTGATTTCCCTGCATTCAGCATCATTGCATGTGTTGCATGAGTCTGAAGATATGGGGTAATATCAGGCTTATGGACTTGCTCTGGTCTGGGCTGTTTTCTTAATGTACAATTGCTCTTGGATATAAAGTTCTCTCTTACACACAGATGAGTGTCTATAAATTTGTTTCTCTAGTCCACCCGGACTGACACACCACCCTCCCTCCTAAGGGGCCTTCTGGCTGCACTTCCCCCACGGGTTGTGTGTCCTTCTGGGAGCCAGGGTCCAGTCCATTCTCCTCTCCAACTCCACAGCTCCCCATCCTGCCTGCCCAGGATGCCGCCGGCGGGCTCCCTGACCCCAGCTCTCCCATCCTCCTCCTTCTGTAGCAACACTTCCTTCTGTGTTCCGGGTGCTCGGTTACTAACCCGAGAGCTGGCAGCTCCCAGCCACCCAGGGGTGCCCACTCAGGGGAAACACCTGGCAGTCTGCTTCTGAAAGACCCTGAAACAACACAACGACTGCCATCGAGGCAATGCCAACTCCCGCATGGCGGGGCACCAAGTGTAAGCCCTTCAGGAGCAGAAAGCAGCGGGACTGGTGGTTCCGGAGCGCTGGCCTTGGGGTGAGCGGCACAATGTGTGGCCACGGCCCCATTAGAGCCCTTCCTCTCCTGAACCTGGTAACACAGAACCAAACTCACAGCCTGACCTGACTCACAGGGCAGGGCGGAACTGTGAGCTTCCAGGGCTGTTAACTCCTAAGGGGAGTAGAAAACCTTCTTTCCCCCCAGGAGCAGCTGGTGGCTCAAACTGCTGCGGGATCCAGCCCACCTCCGGATGGGTCCTCAGGGGCGGCTGTGTAATTGAAGGAAGAAAGTAAGAGGCAGACAAACGTTTTGGGGTGCTCGCCTCCATGGTATCGGGAACCAGGTCCGGGAGAGAGAAAATGTGCTCTTACATCAATTTGCATAGTCTCTCAGGGCATGCAAGCCCCCCTAATTACAGGTAACCACATACACAACAAAGTGGGCTGTACCCTAACCGTAGCGGTCCCTGAGCTCCTTGGGGAGTAACCTGACACCAGTGTGGGGGCAGGTCAGGGGGTGACTGTCCCCTGAGCAGGGAGAGCAACAGCACGTGTCTGCTC